CACATGAGGTAATTCTAAACAAACATTGACAATATAAATTAATAGTAGTTATTATGTCTAAAAGAGTTTAAAAGACAAGATAAAATTAAAATAGTTCAGACAAGTTATTCAAATAAAAGTACTCTATGGTCTTTATTCAATAGGAAGATACAGACATTTCAGTCTAGACTCAAATTCAAGTGTATGTGTTAAAAATTCTAACAACTGCTAAAACAAGAATGAATAATTTCCACAACAGTAAAGAAAAATTAAAAATCCAAACAAGGGCAAGAGAGAAAAGAAATCCTGAAAAAAAGAATAAAAAGCATGGAATAAGGCAGTAAAAATAAGTCCCAATATGTAAGTCAATCAATAAATGTAACGGATATGCACTATTTTTAAAAGGCTATTTAACAACACCCAGCTATCCTTGTTGAAATGAGATACAAAAGGTATAAAAATCTTGAAATAAATAAAAAAAGATAATCTGGAAAATACTTAAAAAAGAAAGCTGCGAACTACACTAATGGCAAATTAAAACACATTCTAAGGGCAATGCATCAAAAAACAAAGAAGTCAGTACATAACAGAAACTTCAACTTCACTAGGATGATAAAACAATTTGAATCTTAGCTGCAACTAATAATGTCCTGAAGATACATAAAGCAAAAATTGACAGGACGAAGGTAATTGACACATCTACATAGAGGGAAAATGTAATACCCCTTTCTCAGTAATTAAAGAATCGATCTGATGACTGAAATCAGCAAAAATATACAAGCTTTAACAATATAATTAATCAGCTTGAACTAATGGACAGAGAACACTGCACAGAAGAGCCGAATACTCATTCTTTCAACCCAGTGGGTAACGATTTATGTAAGCTCACTACAAAAGGGATGCCTTGACAAATTTCAAAGGGTTGGTAACATGACCATATATTTAAATATATTACTATATATTAAACTGTGTTACTATAAAGTCATAGATTTATAGTAAAACATACAATATACACTATACGTATAATATAGCAATATATAATTCCACTATGTATTATTATACACTGTGTTATATATACTATATTTAGTATTATATATTATATATATTACATATAGGACCATATAGTAATATATAATGTGTATAGTAACAAATATAAAGTGTAATTTTATATTTTTATTATATATTTTTTACCACAGAACTATCAAAGTGGAAATCAACACTAAAATATAACAAGAAAATTACTACATCAGAATTTGAAACAACTTCTAATTACAAACTCAAAGAAAATGAATAGAACTAAAAAACAGGAAAATGCTATATGCCAATATTTGGGAGACAGAGCTCAAGCAATATTGAGAGGGAAATTTTTAACCTTAACTGTCTACATGAGGGAAAACAAAAGACTAAAAATCTGTACAAAAAATAGCCATTTCAAGAAATTAGGGAAAAAAAAGTTTCAAGAATTAGTAAAGGTGAGTATAGAAAATAGTGAATCAGAAAACCATGATGTAAGACAGAAACAACAATGCAGAAGTCATTCACTGAAAAGGACTAATGAAACTGACAAATCAATGTTTTCAAACCAAGGGGAAAGAAAAAAACCAAGGAGGCTAACACTAATACAGAAGACACTTAGGTCATGCCACTTCTCTGCTCAAATTGTGGTGGGTTCACAGCTTACTCAAAATAAATGCAAAGTTCTTACAGTGGCCTACAAGGCCCTATAAGCTGGCTCCTTGATATTTTCAGACCTTATCTCTTACTATTCTCTTGTTCAGTGCAAGGCAGTCACACTGGGTACCACTTCAGTCTTTTTTGGCATCTGCAGATGCCGAAATGCTCTTTCCCCAAGTATCTCCATGCTCAACACCTCTCTCTTTCAAGTCTTTGCTCAGGTACTGTCTTCTGAGTGAGAACTTTTCTGATCACCCTATTTAATACTGTAAACTCCACTCTGGGTCTCTCTCCCTATTCTCCTTTCCTGCTCAATTTTCTACCTGACACTAATCACCATCCAATGTAATATGTATTTTACCTATGTATTTATCTGCCCTTCTCTCACGCCCCTAACCATAAATTCCAGAATGCTCTATCTCCCCTCCCCCTCAATGGATATATACTCAAATATTTGAAAATGACTACATAAATGTATGCTAGAGATTATTCTATCTACTGTTCCATTCAAAGAGTATGCGACCAGTTAACACATCTGTTCAACAGCAGTAACAATTTCAACAACAAGCCATTTTGTGTTCAGTATTCCCAGCAAGTGACCACAATGTAACTAAAAGAGTTTGGGGAAAGGGAATCCTCCCCTGTAGTTCTGGCAACAGAACTCTGGTTTATGGTCACCAGTTAGATTATTATAGCTACTAGCTATTAAACACCAAAAAGTGTACCTCTTTGATAACTAAGAAAACTGGGCCTTGGTGATTCAGAGCAGAAAATCAGGAGTGCTTAACACCTGCAGCTGTCCATAAAAAGACTCTGAAACTTATATATTAACACTCCTTCTGTATTGTATAAAAATACCTGGCTTAGTATATTTCAGTTGCAGTATCTACGAAACCACTGTGATATATCGACAGCACCAAGGCTAACACAAGAGTATTTTGGCAATTTTTTAAAAATTTTTTTTAGATTTTATTTATTTGACAGAGACACAGCGAGAGAGGGAACACAAGCAGGGGGAGTGGGAGAGGGAGATGCAGGCTTCCCGCCGAGCAGGGAGCCCAATGCGGGGCTCGATCCCAGGACCCTGAGATCATGACCTGAGCTGAAGACAGACACTTAACGACTGAGCCACCCAGGTGCCCCATCTTTGGCAATTAAAAAAAAAAGATATAATTCACATATCATATAATCCATTTTATATATACAAATCAATACTTTTTTTATTGTGGTAAAATGTACATAAAATTTACCATTTTAACCATTTTTAGATGTACTGTTGAAGGAATATGTGTATCAACAACAGTTTTTAACATATGCTCATGGTTCTGCAACCATCACCACCATCTAATTCCAAAATGTCTTCATCACCCCAAAAAGGAGCCCAAACCTTTAGGCAGTCACTCCCCACTCTCTCTCCCCCACCCCCTATGCCCAAGCAACCACTCATCTGTTTTCTGTCTCTATGGATTGCCAATTCTGGACATTCCATAGAAGTGGAATCACATAGTATATAGTATTTGTGTCTGCCTTCCTTCACAAAGCATGCTTCCCAGGTTCACCCATGTTGTCAGATCTATCAGTACATTCCTTTCCACAGCTGAATAAGATGTCCTTGTATGAATATATCACATTCTGCTTAGCCATTTATCAGATGATACACAATTGGGGTGTTCATAAATTTTCACTATTAAAATTAGGAAAAAGCTAATTTTGTGCAAATGAGTAAACATTCTCTAGAATAGTAACTGGATTGAAGATTATTTTATTTAAAATCTGGTATTACAGCCAAATAAGATATACTGCTTACATTCCTATGGGCATGACAGGATTCACTTCTCTATACCTTCATATTACTAAATTTTATTTAAAAATTTTTCTAAAAGGAAAAAAAATCATTTTGATTTCCTTCATAAGTGATGAGTTATAACTAATGAGTTGTGTACTTTTTATACATATTGGCCATTTATTTTACTTGGTGTTAAATTTCTTTGCTTATGTTCTATAAGTTGTAATTTTTTACTGACTTGCATGAGACATTGGTATTTTGGTAATTTCAAGACATGTATGTGTTATTTGTGCTGAAAATGTTTTCTCCCATCTGTCACTCATTTTTAACTGTGGTACCATTATTTTCAGCTGGGTTTGTATGGAATCTAAATTTCCTATCTTCCTTTTTATGGTTCTTGGGTATCCTATTCTGCTTGAAATAGCCTTTCCCAAGATTTAAAAAATATAATTTTTTTCTATTATCTTCAAAGTTACATATTTTTTCACTAAGCCTTTAACACATCTAGATTTATGAGTCAGGGGTTCGATAAAGCTCTAAATTTATTTTAAAAAATTATAAGCCAATTAGTTCACCTCAATTCAAGTAATTAATAGCCTATACTTAAACTGCCATCTTTACAATAAATTCTCATAGACATTTAGATCTCCCTACTTTTTCCATCCTGCTCCTCTAATTTTCTGTACTAATACCGTATTATCAACAGCTTTACAGTACACTTTAACATCTGGTACACAGATGTCTTATTCGTAATTCTGCTTTTTCAAAATCTTCTTGGTTTTCCAACACATTTATTCTCCCAAGTGAACTTTAGAATCAACTTGTAAACTTACCTGTTGATACTCTGGGTAGAACTGTATCAAATTTACATATTAATTTGAAAGGACTGAAAATGTTGAAAATGAATATTAACTTTATGTTTCTAGGAATATAGTATACGTCTCCATTTATTCAGGTCATGGTTTTGTATCTTTCAGTAAAATACTATCATTATATTTTAATAAATTGAGTATAATCTTACCTGTTTTATTTCTATGTGTGCCTTTTTTTTTTGCCTATTTTTCATCATTACATAAATAAAACATTCTCCCACAGTTGTTGAGTAAAAAGATCATTTCCCCATACCCTATAAAATGATGAGGCTATCAGATGATCTTTAAAAGCCATTTAAGCTCAAAAATTTCATTACTTTCTATGAACACTCCAAAAAACAACACTCACTAAAAATCAACTAAAACAATGAGTTTATCTGTGTTTAAAAGACTGAAAGTACATACACTAAAGATGGTTAACTGGTTTCATCTTGAATACTGACTCTCATACATCAGAAATGGCTGCCAAGACAGGTAATTTCTTTAAGAAATCTACTGAAAGAAAAATCTTACCATTTAGATTTTAAAAGATGCATAAAAAAATAACTTGTCTGGGTAAAACATCCTTTAAATAGGATTTCTAATATTTACGCCATAATGCTATATTACTCTTTTCTAAAGTCATCACAAAAGCATGAACATAAAGAAATTGTACAGGAAAAAGGGGTTTCAGCACTTTTAACACTTACAATTCAATTTCAACCATTCCTTTGGAACATCCTCTCTTCACAAAAAAACCAACCTAGAACAAAAAAGACAAAGTGCACTGAGTGGTGACATTCCCAGGTTATCACAGATTCAGCAAAGTCATTATTATTATTATACGTCTAATTAAAATCCTTTCAATAACTATTTTCTCTGTCCACTCTCCTCACTTTCCCAGATTTGGGAAATGGTTTCCATTGTTTCCTCCCACAAGTAACAATACTATTAATTACCATTTACTGAGCATTCAATGTACCAGACAGCCTCTTACAAAGCTTGTGACAAAGCCAACACCCACGTAATATGGCTCCAGAGTCTGTGTACTTAGCATCTATACTAAATACTCTCAGTAGAGGCAAGAAAGCCAGTGGGAAAATAGGTTCTACAATTTAATCATAGAGCTTTACCAAATCTCATTACCACTGGAGACTTCTTTGGAGTTGCACAGATTAAATATTAACAATCACTCTAATATTACCCATCCTGTTATTAATGAGGATATAATTGTCATTTTCTTATAAAGAATACATATAGTAAATATAATTTAAGTACAATTTACATGGTAAAATAGACCTATTTAGTCTAGTTTGAATACATACACAAGCACAAACTTGAAGAGAGACCCTGGGCCTAAAGAAAATTAGATTGGATCTTCAATCAGGCCATAAGTAAGTAATTCTAAAAAAAAAGGTGGAAAACACACCTTGCAAATAATTATCTTTTTAATAGTGGTAACAGCAGTGATGACAACAATTAGAACCACAACAGCGAACATTTATTAAGCATTACCATACGCTACTGTGCTAAGCAATTTATAATTTTCTTAATATTCATGAGCAACCTTAGGAGGTATGTATTATATCCATTTTACAAATGATGGAACTGAGGCCCAGAAAGATGACAAAGGAGGTCTGTCCTCATAACCAGAAAGTACAGCTTAATGATTAAGAGTACATGCTTTAACACACACCATCCAGGTTCCAATCTCAATCCTGCCATAGAAGTGTAAGCTGCCTGACTAACCAGGTTAACTTACCCTCTCTGTTTTACTGTTTTACTTCCTTCATAAACAGGAAAAACAATGGCAATTTGTAGGAGTGCTATCTGCTCATTAGCTTGCATCAATTAAAATACCAGTAAGAAAAAAATCACAAGGCAGTTATTATAAAATATATATATATACACATATGGATAGTACAAACATGCTAGTGTTAAAATTTCATATTAAGAAATACAACATTAAAAGTATTTTCGCTGAGAACTTGTACAGCCCCTAAATGCATCTGGGGGAACCTAAAGGTCTGCAATCTCTGCACTCCACAACCTTCTTTAAACCCTACCACTCAAGTGTATGATCTGTCTTCTTCATGCCAAAAATAAATGAGAAGGTTGGTGGAAACTGTTACAAACCAATCCATTCTGACTGTACAGTTTGGAGTAAAATCCAGCAGACCATTACACAGAGATAAGGTTTTAATAAATGATTTTTAACAATTAAAAAACTATACATCAATGTTTACAAAAATCTGGTCCCTGAAGTTATCTACTCCAACCCCCTTAACTTTAAAATAAAGAAAAACTGAAGTCTAGACAAATGGCTAAGGTCATAAAACTAATTATTAACAGAGCAGTATCTATGAGCATTCTACCTCATAAATGCCTCTCATACAGCATTAAAAACACACACATAATAGATGAACCAGGAGAGATGATGGACTCTGAAAAACAAACTGAGGTTTCTGGAGGGGAGGAGGGTGGGGGGATGGGTTAGCCTGGTGATGGGTATTAAAAAGGGCACGTTCTGCATGGAGCACTGGGTGTTATGAACAAACAATGAATCATGGAACAGTACACCAAAACAAATTATGTAATATATGGTGATTAACATAACAATAAAAAATTTAAAAAAAACACACACATATTTTGAATAGGCTTATTTGTAATCTTAAGGGTATATGCTTCAATCTTGTAATCCTACATTAAATTGTAACCCTGGCTAAGAAACCTATAATACCATTTTAATAATATTGCAATATTCCCAGTTTTAGAAAAATATAAAGAATCACTTAAACTTTTACAACTATTTTACAGGTTAACTCAACTCTCAAACTCCCTTTTTAAAACATAATTTTATGTGAAATATACACCAAACATTATATATAAGCTTCATATACTGCTTGAAGGAACAGTAAAACAACCAAACATCTACCGCAAATTTAAGGAATTGAAAATTAACCGTGCATCTGACATTCCCTGTATAACTCAACACTATTGTATCCTCTCTCAACAAATGTAATCCTGACTTGATCATACTTTTGCTTTTCTCTAGTTTTGCTATATACATATATCTCCTTAAATATTCAATACATTATTTTGTGTTTTGACCATTCTATAAATAAATTCATATTATAAGTATTCTTCCAAAATAGCATTTTTCCTTAAAATTACGTTTTTGCAATTTACCCAGTGAGCTAAGGACTATTTTCACTGGTATGTAATATTCAATTTTATTTGACTATAATAGGATTTATTTAAAAACAATACTGCTATAAATATTTCAATACTTTTGCCTGGTATTAATGTACAAGAGCTGTCCAGGAGAAGTTTTGATTGGGTATATGCATCTGCAGATTCACTAGGTAATGCCATTTTCGAAGACTACAAATTTCTATTCCCACCAAGAGTGCATCACAGTTCCCATTGCTCCATATCCTTGTAAGCACATGGCATCGCCAGAATTTGTGACTCTGAGGAATATACCTTGCCAGGATTAGTGTGCAGTTCTCTGATAATTAATGAAGTTGAGTATCTTTGCAGACTCAGGTGGCCCTTGAATAACACAAGGGTTAGGAGTGCCAACCCCCTCCACAAAAATTTGCATATAACTTTTGACTCCCCTGAAACTTAACCACTAATAGCCTACTGTTGACTGGAATCCTTATCAATATCATAAGCAACTAATATATATTTTATACATTATGTGTACTATATACAGTATTCTTACAAGTACGAAAAGAACTAAGAAAATCATATGGAAAATACATTTACGGTACTGTATTTACTGAAAAAAATCCGCATATAGGTGGACTTGCACAGTTCAAACTTAAGTTGTTCAAAGAGCAACTGTATTTATTGGCTGTCTGAGCTGCCTCTTTTCTGAGGTGTCTGAGCACATATTTTGTCCTTAATTGTTAACTCTTTTGCTTATTAAAAAGTTTAAATACCGATCTTTTGTTATATGGGTTATATCCCAATTGTGGCTTGTCTTTTTCTTTATGGTGTCTTTTTCCCCCCCAGAGGTACAGGTCTGTAATTCAACGGTCTTACACAAGTCACAGCGCTCACCGTAGCACATACCCTCCCCAGTGTCTAT